AGCGGATATTCATTTTGTGTATGGCTTTGTAAATGGAAACGCAGCAGAAGCAGCCAGGGAACTGATAATAATAGGGAGTGTTTTAAGTAACGTTTTATGGACCGATGAGTCATGCTTCACTAGACGTGGAGTGGTAAATTTTCATAATCAACATATTTGGTCTCATGAAAATCCGCGTGCAGTTCGGGAAAGAAATTTTCAGCATGAATTTAGTGTGAACGTGTGGATTGGTATCTACCGTAATCGACTATATGGACCCTACCTTTTGCCTGCAAGGTAAAATGCTGCGACCTTCTTGGAATTTTTAAAGGCTGAACATGCAAATATGTGGGATGATGTTATGTTAGGTTTAAGAAGATTGGCCTGGTTTCAGCTTGATGGTTGTCATTATTCGAGAATAGTTAGAAACTGGCTGGACGAAAATTATCCAGAAAGATGGATCGGCCGTGGAGGACCAGTAGCCTGGCCTCCACGATCCCCTGACCTAAATCCATTAGATTTCTTTGTGTGGGGATTTCTAAAAGAAAAAGTGTACCAGACTCCCATAACCACAAGAGATATGCTAATAGACAGAATCAGGAATGCATGTGATGAAATAAGGCCTTATTTGAATAATGCTATACAACGTTCGATGATTCGTAGATGTGAATTGTGTATTGAACAATTGGGTTTACATTTCGAGCAACTACTTTAGATTTTGTATGTTTGTCCTAACTATCTAATAGCATTTTAGTTGTAAATAATTAATTTAATTTGTTAAAAATAATATTGGAAAATTAAACAAATCAATATTCTGTTTTTTTGTGTTTATTTGGAGTTAGGAATTATTGCTGTGTTTAAAAACACAATCTAAACGATCATCTTAATTTCTTGTAATGCCAAATCGAAAATGTAAAAAAAATAGTATTTTCCCATAAATAATTAAAAATGTATCGAACTTAAAAATCGAGATATCTCAAAAACGGCTAACTATAACGAAAACTCACAGGAGAGCTTTTTTATGTTGAAAAGTACGAAGAATCAGTTTTTTAGGATCTTAAAGCAATCATTGACGTGTTTTCTTGTAACATTCGTTATTTGCTTTAATGCCCTGTTTATATAGTAGAGTGAAATTTGATTGAAAACATCGTGAGTGCAATTTTGAAATGGAAAATCGGCTGCTTGGGTCTATTTATAGGTTGTAGCGTCAAACGGCAACAAATATTTCAAATTTACGGAACGTTCCTTCAGGGTACCACAAGGTTCAGTCCTAGGGCCCCTCTCGTTCTTAACATCTACATCTGATTTGGTCGTCAAAGTTAAAACCTCGACAGTAACTTGTTATGGCGATGATACTCAATCATTGTTAAGATGATTGAGGCCAAAATCAATGTTGATCTCGAAAGTATTAATAACTATTCTGTCAGTAATATTAAGAAACTCGATTGTCAAAAATCAAATGATGTACTAACGCGGCTGGTTCGGTATAGAGAATCGTACAGTTTCTTTTTCTAACATCTCGGGACCTAGTGACAGCCCAGAAGTGACCGATACGACCGCTCATTTGTCCCTAGGCTATCGAAATTGTGAAACAATCTACCTGAGATGGCTGTTCTACTAACGCGGCTGGTTCGGTATAGAGAATCGTCCAGTTTCTTTTTTTAACTTCTGTGGACCTAGTCACAGTTCAGAACAGGCCGATATGACCGCTCCTTTGTCCCTAGGCTATCTAGATTGTGAAACAATCTACCTGAGAAGGCAGTTCTACTAACGCGGCTGGTTCGGTATAAAAAATCGTCTAGTTTCTTTTTCAACCTCTGTGGACCTAGTCATAGTTCAGAACAGGCCGATACGACCGCTCCTTTGTCCCTAGGCCATCTAGATTGTGGAACAATATAACTGAGCAGGTAGTTCTACTGACGCCGTCTAGTTTTTTCAACCTCTGTGCACCCAGCGACATTGAAACTGATATACAGCAGCACAGTTGATTATGTAACTGACCTACAAGTCTAAAGTGACTAAGTATGTATGTCTGTTTGGTTTAGAGCTTAAACCGTATTTGTGGTATAGGATTTATATAAGATATGTGGTCGTTTGCGTAATAATTCGGTCAATTACACTGCGATTTTTTGCAAGCACTGAGAAACAATTTGCGAGTTTAGGTGGTGATTGGACTCGCTGGTCGAGTGATTATTCATATACTAAGTGACATATAAATCCGAACACCCAGTTTAAACGGATTTATTTTAATAAAATTTTGTATAAGTACTTAATGAAGCATAATAAGTAAATGATAAAAATTTCAAAATGATTGCACTGCTTTAAAGCCCTTTGACCTTTAATAATGTGTGGATGCACCCTGATGTGCTACGCATTCTCCAACGTGCCTAGGCATGCTTCTGATCAGGTGGTCAATGTCCTCCTGTGGTATCTCATTCCAGGCAACCACCAACTCCTCTCGAAGTGCTTCTAGAGTATGAGGAGGACGCTGCAAATTGAGCAATCTCCTACCCATCATATCCCACACGTGCTCAATTGGGGATAAGTCGGGAGATCTTGGTGGCCATGGTAACAATGTGACATCATTATGTTGAAAGAAGTCTATTGTGACTCTTGCAACATGTGGTCGGGCATTATCTTGTTGGAAAGTTGGATCTGCCAGGGTGTCAAGATAGGGTAAAAGATGGGGTTATAGAACTTCGTGGATATAACGCTGCGCGTTCATGTTACCTCTGATGAAGATTAAAGGTGACCTGGAACCATAAGCTATAGCACCCCAAACCATAACTCCAACAGTGTGATGAATATGTCCTTCAACAAAAAACTGTGGATTCCTCCTTTCACCACGTCGCCTTTTAACCCTGGCACGACCATCGTGCATACCTAAACAAAATCGAGACTCGTCTTTAAAGACAATACTGTTCCATTCCTGATCCCAGAATGACCGTTGTTTGCACCAAAAATTCTCAAGAACCCAATTTTACCCTATTAATAAACTTTTATTTTGATCAATATTCACTATTGTTATTTTACTAACTTGAATCGGAGCACGCCCTGTAGAAGACCTCTATATTCTTACAGGCCAATTACTAACTATTTTATACTTTTTTTATTATTTAATTAATCCTATTATAAACAAAATTTGAGATAAAATAATCTTTTTTAATTAGTCTATGAACTTATTATAAGTATATACTTTGAAAGTATAAAAAAGAAATAAAATTTTCTATTGACTTATTTATTAGTAAATTCCTCCCATCTACTTTTTAATAAAAAATAAGGACACTAAAAATTTAAAAAATAGTAATTAAAATAACTATAAAAATATTTTAAATTTTTAATGTCCTTATTTTTTATTAAAATAATTTTTTATATAAATTTTTGAAAAATAATTTTTTAAATTTTTTGCGTCCTTATTTTTTATTAAAATAATTTTTTATATAACTTTTTAAGAAATAATTTTAAATTACTTTTTTAAATTTTTAATGTCCTTATTTTTTATTAAAATAATTTTTTATATAAATTTTTGAAAAATAATTTTAAATTACTTTTTTAAATTTTTTGCGTCCTTATTTTTTATTAAAATAATTTTTTTAAATAACTTTTTAAGAAATAATTTTGAATTACTTTTTAAATTTTTTACGTCCTTATTTTTTATTAAAATAATTTTTTAGGCGATTACGTCGGTGTTCTCGAGTTAAAGGGAGGACCCAGTGTGGCCGGTATGAAAACAAGCCAAAACTTCTCATCCGTCGGTAAACACTTCGCATGCCAATAGGTTTTCCGTGTTCTGCAAACCATTCATTTGCAATGGACCTGGTAGTGGAGAAACGATCCCTTAAGGCCAATAATCTTAGGCGGCGATCTTCACGGTCTGTTGTTCTACGGCGGCGTCCAGTGCCCCTTGCTCTTTGCGTACGGCCTTCTCGAAGCCATGCCTGACAACACCTAACCACAGTGTCTACACTTTTTTGCACTCTAACTGCAATTGCCCGAAAAGAAAGTCCAGCTTCCCGAAGTCCCACTATACGGCCCCTATCAAACTCACTAAGTTGACGAAATCGTACAGGTCTCCGTACTCTAGGCATCGTAACCGATCGTAAAGGATGTCAAGAACCAAAATCCGCCAACGTTGATTCTTTACTGCGGCTGAAATATTCATTTTTAGAGCGTTAGTGAATTAAAAAAAAACAGTATAAAAACCGGATTGTCCAACTGATAAGGCTGAAATTTTTTTCACTTGTTATTTACAGTAAGATAAATATATTCACCAACTTTTATTAAAATAAAACCATTTAAACTGGGTGTTCGGATTTATATGTCACTTAGTATATTTTAGAATGCTCAGCAAACAGTGCAGAAAATATGTATAAGCTCAAGGTGGTAGTAGCAGGACCACACCCTGTATCTTTTTAATGAAAATGTTACATAGAAGACCCCCCTTAAAATGCCGTCCTGTGTCTGATGTTTCATTTTCGGTCACGACTTGTGAGTCACCCTGTATGTTGTACGTTATGTGACAGAACAAAAGTTGATGAAAACTTGAAAACTGTATGTTTTAATGACTAATTCCTACAACGTACATATTTTTTAAGTTAGCATAATTAACAGCACCCTTTATACATTTCTTTATAAATATAATGCAACTCGAGGATACCAGAGGGGGCAAGTGTCACTGATCAGGATCCTGTAAGCAATCGTCGTTTTAGCTTCGTTTGTTATCTGCTAGTGTTCGGTGCAATCGTTAGATGACGCTGTTAACGGTGGTACCAGGAATCATAGGAGAGAGTGTTATCTGCAGTGTAGCTAATAATCTGTGAGTCCGGGTATCAAATCTTTTCCGCCAGTGACCCAACTATTCATAGTCTGTCAAATTTTCTGAGGAATCAAAGGACCCAGCGCATAAATAATGGAAAAAGGAATCTTCTTCTCTTCCTAAGCACAATGTCTCATAGAATCAAAGCAACTCTGTGATTATTTTCTTCATAGCTTGCCAATTTGCAAAATATCAAACTACTTACATACAGCTTCAGCAAAACCGACTCGTTTGGGTCATAGTCCAACGATTTCCTGTCCATAGATGGACCTTGAGATGGAATATCGGCAACGAGCGACGTAATACAGTACTGCGTATCAAACGGGGCAGCGACGTGAAGACATTCGTAGTAGCTGCCAAACTGGGCTATGCTTCCACTCAGGAGGCCTGTAAGTGACTTGGCTGTTGAATCTCGAACTGAAAAAGAAAATATCTTGTCAAAAATATGAAACTCAAATCACTAGGAATACTGAAGCAATCACGCAGGTGGAAGCCTAAGTGGTTTGATGGTCAGATTTTTGGACTGCCCAATGGAACTGGGAATAGCCTCCTAATGTAGATTGTTTCACAATCTCAGCACGCGGTCATATCGGCCAGTTCTGGAATAATGTATCCGGGGCAGCAGCACCCAAACATGTGAGCAGGACTCGATGTTCTGGGCCTTACACAAATTGTGGAGATTAAAAATTGGTAAAATACGAATCGACAGACCCTGAAATGTGTAATAGAGCTCATTTAAACATCCGCGTTTGATAATATAATTCAATTAAAATATTAAAAAATCCATTTTGTAATATCGCCTCAAGGTGCAATTGCACTAAGCGTATTTGGAAATTGTTCTGTTCCACGCATAAAATTTTTTGGAATAACATTTGTAGATTTATTTCATCGGTGCAGCTATGCCAAGGACTTTCTTGATTAGAACTTGTTTGAGAGTTGATAAACACTAGTTAATTGTTGATTTAATATGCAATGAATTAAAAATTATCAGTATAATTTTCACATATCCATAGAGAATAGTTTCAACGCCTTTACCTTGAAACAGTTATCTGACTTTCTAGTGAATTTCGAGTCAATTATGGTAGGTGTATACAAGCTTGTAGGTATAATTGGCAAGCAATTGTTACGTAATTGTTGATATTTATCTTACAGACCATTTTTATTCGGTAAATTCTGTCAACCACTGCCAGTTTATACTCATCAGAAGACAATGCATCAAAATTTTGATAATCCAAACTTTGGTTTCCAATCATTTTACAACATGGTCAGAGTTCTTTAGAAGCATTTTTCATTCATTCTAAGGGAGCAGCTGATGGGAAGTAAATTTATAATAACTAATCTCTCGCAAGGACCTGAAGTATTCAAAAGAATCACATAAAAGCGAAACTTGATGGAGAGGGTTCTGTCATATTACTGTTTTATTGACAAACTTGCGGAATATTTGACGACTACAGTATAGTCAGATAAGAGATAGACCGGATGTAAACAAAAGGTTCGGGTGATTTTCACGCTAACGCCGCCGTCTCGACGTAAAACAGGAGCCCTCATTGGTCAATTCGCAATTAAATGCCTATGCCGAGCGGCAGAGCAGTCGTATCAAGGCAGGGTCACATTCAGGTTCAGACGTGTTACGTATGTCGTGTGCATCATTGCAATTTGATATTTCTTTGGACGTTTTCGTTTGTTATCTTATTAAGTTGTTGAGTTTGTCGTTGTTATTGTTATACCTTGTTATTGATTGTTATTGTTATCAACTGCTTGCGCAAAATGCCCAGTAGTACAGATACTGCCGATGAAGTTGTAAACTCCTGTAGTCCACCTAGGAAACGCTCTAAAAAAAGACACCTGAGTGCAGAAATGAAAGAGGTCATTTTGAATATATATAAGATCGAGCGCGAGAAGAACGAGGCATCAACCATCAAAGAAATTGTTGTGAAGGTTTCTCACAAAGTTGGGGTATGTCGCGCATCAGTGTTTAATGTGTTAAGACAATACAAAAAAAATCACACCTTTTCTGAGCCAATGACCAGTAAACATCGCAAAAGTATTGTTAAATCATTGGATGAAGCTGATAAGCATGCGATTAGGAGGAAAGTGCATGAATTCTTCTTTAGGAATGAAATACCTACTATAGATAAAGTACTGCAGGAGGTAAATGGAGATACAACGTTGCCAAATTTCAAACGATCAACTTTCCATGCGTTACTGAAGCATTTAAATTTCAAATGGAAAAAACGGGGTCGTAATAGTTTACTACTGGATAGAGAAGAAATTGTGCTATGGAGGAGGGATTATTTAACAAAAATTGGGAAATATAGAAATCAAAACAGGAAGATTTATTACCTTGATGAAACGTGGGTAAACGCAGGACACACTACAAGTAAAGTATGGGTTGATGATTTTGTAACTTCATCCAGGAGGGCCTTTCTAGATGGACTGTCCACCGGATTAAAAAATCCAGCAGGTAAATACGAGTAATAGACAACAATCGGATGTTTTTCAAACCTTGGGAACAAGGTTCTAAACATTAATTCCAGGGGGCAGATAAAACATATTACAAGTAACAAAACTTTTTTAACTTTCGATAAAATGCGTGGATGTTTTATTGTCATTTTCATTTGTTAGAACTTTTTTAAGCCATGTTTTTATGTGTTTTCGATATTTCAATAATTTTTTAATATAATCTTAAAATATGTCGAATATTATAAACTTAAAAAAAGTTACTAAGTTTTATATTGTGTACCGTTCCTAATATTTCTAATCATTTTAATTCATACTTTAAGCTTTATAAAGTTATAATTTGTTAATATTAATATTTGCGCTTATTTCAGGTTCCTGATCATTCATTTTTTAAAGGTTTATAACTTTAAATTAAATTGTGAAGCGCTGAGTAATCATACGACGTTCAATATTCTTTCTTTCAATACGACTAAATAATCCCAATTATAGCAATCTGATACTCATGTCTCAAAGTTTTTTCGCTGAATGTGATGAAAACATTTGAAAAAGGTTTGCTTATTGAAATAAATCTACACCAGTTAGTACTTCGATTTCCAGGTAAAGGGAAAAGGCTCATTATCTGCCATATTGGCAGTGAGGATGGATTTGTTGTTGACGGTCTGTGGTGCTTTGAGTCTAAGAAAACTGGAGATTACCACGAGGAAATGAATGGCGAATCGTTTGAACAGTGGTTTTCAAAAATTTTACCGAACTTAGAGGAAAACGCAGTAATTGTGTTGGATAATGTGCCTTATCATTCTTGAAGAATGGAGAAGGTCCCAACAACGGCTTCAAGGAAAGTTGATGTTCAAAATTGGCTCCGCTCGAAAAATATCAACTTTGAAGAAGCAATGCTGAAAGTACAATTATTAAGAATTGTCAAGGATCACAAGGCGGAATATCAAAAATACGCCATTGACGAAATGGCAGCAAGTCAAAATAAAACTGTGCTCCGTTTACCTCCATACCATTGCGAGCTCAATCCCATTGAGCTCATATGGGCAGAGGTTAAAAATTATATAGCTAAGCACAATACAACTTTTAAATTTTGAGACCTCAAAGGACTTTTCAAAGAAGCACTAGAATTAATAACAGCGCAAAAATGGGAAAACTGTATTAAGCACGTGAAAGACAAAGTTGAAAAGAGACTGTGGGAACTGGACAATATTTTAGAGGAACAAGTCGAGCCATTCATTATTGACGTTGGTGCTTCAGGCAGTAGCGATGATGAAAGCTCATCAAGCTCATCTTTCCAATAAAAGATGTCGTTCATCAAATTCGGTAAGTTATAAGTAATTATAAAGCTACTGTATTTTTTAATTAATTATTGACATTTTTGAACCCATTTTGGCAAAACCTATTCAAGAATCTACTTTCTGACAATGTTCAACCATGCACATTTTTTTACGTTTTGAACGTTTTAATTTGGTTACATATTTACCTAGAAATCAAAAAATATACTAATCAATATTCTAAAAGCAATTTTAAGAGATATACGATTATTTTTAATTTAGGCTAATTTAAACGCCATTTTGAGATTATATTCGACAGTATTTCACCAAACATCAGGCGGCATCCGAAGCTGGAAATCGAAGCGAAAATTTTGAAACCCTTATGTATATTTACATCATTATATATTTCTTACCCCACCCCCACATGATCCTATATCCATCACCAATCGTATACACATCGAATTGTGCTAATTTACTACAAAGTTACGCAAAGCAGCATCTACTATCTAAAATATGTACTGCGTGACTCTTAATACGTCCCTGCCGAATGTTACAGCGTTCGATGATCACGTGGTCTTGTTTATGTCCGGTCTATCTCTTATCTGAATATACTGTAGAACTCTTGTGTATGGGAAATAAAAAATTTTATGTTGTAGCTCTCCTTGTACTTATTTCACATTGCACTATTGGAGGTCCTCACGTGTCTGTTGTATTTCCTTTTGGGCTTTTTTCCGGCACAAGTTTTGGAGGAGCTATCATAATTATTTGATATTGCTTCGTTTTTGTCAGTATGATTCTTGATGCGCAAAAACCATGAAACATAAAACGTCATAACGTTTTTATCTGATACATAGCATCCTTAATAATGTGATAATAATCCGTCTTCGTTTGTTTTTTCTTTCATTTTCACACGTCTACATTCCCGCTCTCAAAAGGACGCTCAACAACTCAACAAGCAAACATGAGGTTATCTGTCATTTTTGTATGTACCAAACATATCTCACTCGTTCATCGTCCCAAAAACGTCAAAAGTCCTCCGAAATCGGGAAAAATCCACCTAGAACTCTTGTGTACGGGAAATAAAAAATTTAATGTTGTAGATCTCCTTGTACTTATTTCACATTGCACTATTGGAAGTCCTCATATGCCTGTTGTATTTCCTTTTGGTCTTTTTTCCGGCACAAGTTTTGTAGAAACTATTATAATTATTTGATATTGCTTCATTTTTGTCAGTATGAATCTTGATGCACAAAAACCATGAAACATAAAACGTCATAATGTTTTTATTTGATACATAGCATCCTTAATAATCTTCGTTTGTTTTTTCTTTCATTTTTACACGTCTACATTCCCGCTCTCAAAAGGACGCTCAAGGTAACAAGCGAACATGAGTTTATCTGTCATTTTTGTATGTACCAAACATATCTCACTCGTCCATAAAAAAACACCTAGAGCTCTTGTGTGTGGGAAATAAAATTTCTTGTGATATATTTCGTTTTGGTTTTTTTTTTGGAGGAGCTGTTATGATTGTTTGATATAGCTTCGTTTTTGTCAGTATGAACCATGATGCGCAAAAGCCGTAAAACGTAAAGCGTCATAATTTTTTTCTTCGATTCATGCTAATATATGCAAACTTAATAATGTAATCTAGAGTTACACTTCCTCTTATAAACAGCTATTAAGCCA